GTCTGTCTATTCACCAAGAGAGAAGACTATTGTCCTGAATGTTCACGATGCTCTGGTTTCTCAGTAATCCCACAAATACTGTTCGCAACATAGTCGAAAGTTGTGCCAACATGACTGGCGTAGGAGAGTCAACTATATACAGGTTCCTATCAGAAAGAAAAAAACATGGTATAGCTAACCCAAACACAAACGAACACTTAAACAGAGGGAAAAAGCCTATTGAAATTAATGAATTTGCCAAAAATGGTATTCGAAGGAAAATTCATGGATTTTTTTTTGAAAAAAGAAATACCAAACCTAAACAAAATTTTACAAGAAGTTAGAGACGATCCGGATTTGCCTCTTATCGGACGAACTAAATTGTGGCAAGTTTTAAAAGAATTAAATTTCTGGTGGAAGAAATCAGACCGAAAATCACTTTTGATTGATCGAAAGGAGATACGTGGGTCATACTCTAAAAAAAGTTTGGTCAGAAAAATATATTAAGCTCCAGGCAAGCCTTTATGGAAGGTTGGTTTACTGGTATCTCCCCACCTTCTGGTAAAGGAAGTAGATTTATATTTTCTCACATTGGCAGTAAACAAGGAGTTAAGGTTAAGCATGGTTTGTTAAAATTTCAGTCCAAAAGCACAAAAGACTATCACGAGGAGATGACAGCTGATGTTTTCGATTTGCTGATTTTGAGCAGATGATTGAACACATACCACTATATTCAATTATAGTATTAGATAATGCACCTTATCATTCACGACTAGTAGAAATACTTCCAACAACTGCGTGGAAGAAACAGGATATTCTTGACTGGCTGCGGAATAAGTATCTGCCTAGCGAAGATGGAATGGTAAAAACAGAACTTTTAAGAATTGCCTGGCAGCACAAATCTAAGTTAAAAAAATACGTAGTTGACAAAATGGCGGAAAGGCGAAATATCACATTCCTTAGACTTCCACCCTACCATGGCGAAATAAATCCAATTGAACTCATTTGGGCACAAATGAAAAGTTATGTTGCTAGAAAAAATACGTCATATAAAATATAAACTGTACATGAATTGTTGTACGAGTCTTTACAACATATTACAGAACAAAACTGGAAAGATGCAGTAAGACATGTAATAGAAGAATAACAAAGAATGTGGGATCTTAATAACATAATTGATGCGACCGTCGAGACAGAACCGCTAATTATTAACCCTCAAGACGACTCGGATTCCGAGGTTGATCTTATTTATTTTTAATTTGAATAGTTTTCTGATCGTAATTATATAAGATAAGTAATAGTAGTTGTAATCGTAAGGTATTAAAGGGTAAAGGCACAAAATGTCACCTGACAAAATGTTCAAAGTGTTTTAAATGTATCCATTTTTTTTTTCAAATCCTGAGAAAACTACAAAGCATTTTTGAAAAATGCTTGGAATGACATATTTATTAGAATAAATAAAAAGTTTCTTTTGCATGCAATTAAAAATTATACTATATTTTCTCTTTTATTTTCACCCCTGTTACATAACATATTAAAATAAACATTGTAGAAGTTTTCAGGGACTTTCTGCCCTCAGTAATAATGTAATCTTTCATTCTGCGTTTAAATTTTTCAAAAATATTTATCAGTTTTCTCCGGATTCGAAAGTAATGGATACATTTAAAACATATTGAAAATTTTGCCAGGCGACATTTGGCGCCTTTCCCCTTAATAAACTAAATGTATCTTTTACAAATAGCAAGAAACTTTTTATTTTTAAATAAAATAAAGAAGTTTTATTAAAACAAAAATACAATTTAAAAAATATTTTTATTTAGTTTAAATGAATGTTTCAATCATATACTCTACGACACTGGTCGGCCAAAATACCTTTATAATCGGATTATAAAGTTGACCGTTGTATTGTATTTCTGCAGACACAAGGTGGGTTAGTCGAAAACATCTTAAACCGTCAGTTTCAGGTTAGTTTTTACTATGATATCGTATTACCTATCCTCTCTGTATTTCCGTTCTCTAATTAGGATTAAACTTGTAGTGAGCTATCAACAAATTGTGAACCGGTCAGTCCAATAAAGGTTACAATAAGTGCACTACATTAGACAAAAAAAACCTCAAATACTTTTAAAAATCTCCGTTACTGGTTTATAAATACGTGTATACCTTAAGCTTAATTTAATTTTTATAAAACAATCATAAATATTTAAAAGTTCTTAATTGTCTGTCTCCATTCGCTACACTTAACATAAACCTAACAAAACGACGGACATTGTTGACGTTTTGTTAGAGGGATTTGGCAGCTTGTTTAAAGTCTGATGCAAATCCTTTATTTTAGGATAACGGTAAAGAAGGTACCCAGATTTAAGCATTTAAACACCAACGCAATATCCTAAAAGGAAAGAGCTTAGTATAATGTGATTTAATACTAATCTTTTAATAATCCCACTGAGAAGTTTTATGGAGAAAGGTGTGACAATTTGTCAGTCAAGTAAGAAGGAAACAAAGAACATAAACTGTATATTTTTTGATTTTGTGTAATAATCTCTAACTTTGATTCATTCTCTTACGTTTAAAATAGTTTTGTCTTTGTTTTGGCTTCTTGTTGTGGCTCTGTCATGGACATGTGTTGTTTCTGCATATAGCGATTCAATTTTTTAATTCTTTACTTCAGCACATACAAAAATATTAACTCTCATAAAGTAGCTTCATGCCCTTAAATCCACCTGGTTTATCCGGCGAATCCGCTATTAAGTTAGCACTAAATTTTATGGTTCTAATTGTTTTAGCTCTTACCCTAATGTTTAAACAGGCAATTTCATTCCAGTGAGTCTCGGTGCTTGTGAATTGCGCTTAACGGCGAATCCTAATTCCTGATTCCAATTCGAACGGAAATTATGTGGTGGTGATAAACGATAAGTGATGAAACCCTCGGGCTTCGCGTCTTGATTGTAGCCCTCTACGTTTGTTTCCCTTTAAGAAACCTCCTGGGTAATATTATGGTTGCGACTTCTAAGAATATTCATGTGGTTGTTTAGAAATCGCGCTAGATTAGGCCAGTATCCACAGGACGAGTTTATAGCTGATAATAAACGGAACATTGGTTTTGTAAACATAGTTTTCACAGGATAACATATCTTAATCAATCACTTAAAGTAATTACATATCCATATCAGACTATATATATATATATATATATATATATATATATATATATATATATATATATATATATATATATATATATATATATATATATATATATATATATATATAGTAAACTCTTAAATCTTGGGGAAATCTGCAAGAAAAACTCTAATGAGTATCAATTGTTTCGCCGAACGTTTTCGCCAAAGAGAATTAATTTGGCTTTTTCAGGGCTGAAAGAGAATATAAATTATAATTAGCTACCATATATTATCTATTAAAAAACATTATTGGTCTTACCGTAACTTAGAATTGTCGAGTTAGGATGTTACAAAACTTAGCTAGTAAAAACCTAGTGGTGTTTTTTGTTACTATGTGCAAAAAAGATTTTTTTTAAAGTTGGAAATGTATGGTAGCTTTGAACTTAAAACGCAAAGGTTTACCCTAGGTTAATCGAAAAACCCAATGTAACTACATTTAAAAGGAAGTAATTCTTTGAATTGTCGGCAATAACTAAATTTTTATATTATTGTTATAAAGTTTAAGTGAGAGGTTCTGTTTTCTCAGAACGCATGTGCTGACAATTCAAGTAGGACTTTGAATCTTTATGTCGTTAAGGTTCATTGGTAAAACCGAATGAAGTTAAATCCCAGTTTGGGGAAATATTATATTAGAATTTTCTTAATTGAAATTCTTTTTTAATTATAGTATATTGTTCATGTATTATTATAATAATATTTTATTGAGATGTATCTAAGAAAAGCAAGGGAATGTTATCTTTTTTAGTTCATGAAAATTATTATTTAAAGTAGGTTAGTTGTTAATGGATATGTCACTGAAGTTAGTTATCTGTGAAGTTGTATTGGTCTTGGTATCTGATTTAAGGAAGAAGTGGTATATAGCGCTTAGATTCTTAATGTCACTCTTAACATTGATGGAGAAATCGTTAAGAAAAATATAAGACATTTCAATGAACTCTCTTTGAGATTTATTGTTTTCACGATGGAGAATTGTAGTGTTGGTATAGTCCATTTCAATGAACTCTCTTTGAGATTTATTGTTCTCACAATGGAGAATTGTAGTGTTGGTATAGTCCATGAGATGACCAGTGGAATGGACATGTTTGGCTAATGCACAGCGGTCAGGGTGAAGTCGAGAATCACTTTTGTGTAGTGTAATACATGATTTCAATAATTGAGATGTTTGGCCGATGTAGGAATTGCTGCAAGAGAGGCATGGAATGTTGTAGACAATGTTACTCAGCCTATATCAATGGGAGTCTTATCTTTTATCTTAGAATAAAGATTATTAATTGTTAGGGCTGATCTACAAGCCACATTAAGTTTAATGTTGTTATTATTATTACCAAAGCTATTTTCAACACTTTTCAGAATCCTTGTTAACCCCAGAGTGACTCAGAGATATCACTCAGAGATATCAACATAGAGATATTCAGCTGAAAATCTCATTCAATATTCTTAACTCTTCCTCTATTGTTTTGTAACCCATGTATACTTAAGAATGCCATCTTACCATGGACGTATCGCCTTGAAGATGTATTTTGAGTAGTACTACCAGCTTTAAGTTTTAGCTCTATGCAGCCAAATATATATGCATTTTGAATATTACAGTTGCTCAGTTACCAAAATGTCTCAAAAATGTTTTTCACTTCATCTTCAGATAAAAGTGTAAAACATTTATTTCTACAACAGCAGTCTGGTCCTATAAACTTTTCTTTTTGTACCATTCCCTTAACACGATAGCTGAGATATCTTTCGCCACTATTTCTTTTATTCTTTTTCTTGGTTTGTTTTTTATTTCCACGTTTACGTCTTTTCTTTTCAGTGTTTGTAACTTGCTGTTTGTTGTGTCAAATTTTACTTAATTATATCCTGGTCTGACGATGTAGATAGAATTTTACATGCTATCTTGGATTTCTGCAAGAAAAAAGAAAATATAAATATATGTGTACATAGAACTATCACGCAAATAACCAAATATCTACATGCGAGTAAAAAAATGGTATCTGGATTCACTTATCTTTATTGGCCCATTTTCATCGTTAGGCATATATTCCGGGTCTTTATCTGAATCATAAAACTCGCTGTCACTGTTTGTTAGCAAAGTTTCGCAAAAGACATCTTTATTTTTGGAAACAAAACATTGATCCAGCTGATCGTTAGACGTCATGTTTTACACATACCATTATTTGCGCAAATTCGATGTCACTTAGCTGCCATTTGCAACTTATTTACAGCGCCGTCTTTTAAACTAGTAACAAAATATCAAAATAAAAAAAGAACTAAAACGCGACATACAAAAATGGAACGAGAACTTAATAGAGGGAGTCATTGAAAACAACAGAGGCTTAAAATGTCTAAGACCCGCACTGGAAGTTAAAAAAATCATCAAAATTAAAGACGCCAACAATAAGGTAGAGAAGGACATAATTATATAAAATAACAAATATTGTCGAAAACTTCTACACTTGTACAGCTAGCTTGCAAGGCCAGCCTAATGAAACAACAAAGGAGAAAGTCAAAAGAAAAATAAAAAACGTGGGATCAGAAGTACTACCAAATATAAAGGGATACGAAATAGAAAGAGTTTTAAAAGAACTAAAAAATAATAAAGCTCCAGTACACGATGGTATAATTGTCGAGCTCTTGAAAACAAGCAAGATATTAACAATCCCTGTACTAACAGAGCTATTTAATAGATGTCTCCATAATAGCCAGATCCCTAAAGACTGGAACGAGAGTCTAGTAATACCATTACACAAAAAAGGGGACAAATGTGATCTACAGAATTATAGACCTATATCGTTGCTCAGTTATGTATACAAACTATTTATGAGTATTATTAAAAACCGGTTAACCTACAAAATGGATAATTACCAACCGGTTGAACAGGCTGGCTTCCGCAAAGGATATAGTACATCAGACCATCTGCTGACAATGAGAACATTGATAGAGAAGGCAAATGAATACCAACTACCCGTATTTCTTGCCTTCGTCGACTATGAAAACGCGTTTGATAGTATCGAGACGTGGGCCATAGAACAAGCTATTAATAATTATAGAATAGATTCTACATATAGGCAACTAAATACATAATATATATGAAAATGCAACTATGATAGTACAACTAGACGAAAATACAAATCCCATCCCCATTAAGAGAGGAGTGAACCTTGCCCTAGAAGACGTCTTCAAAACTACAAATTGGTCAACCTATGGCGTTAACGTTAATCAACAAGTTAAACCACCTCAGATTCGCTGACGACATAGTGATTATAGCGAGTACATTCGAGGAACTGCAAATTATGTTGGGGAAACTAGCAGCCAGCTCCCAATACGTCAGCATAAAATGAATATGAAAAAAAAAACAAAAATAATGACAAACACATATGACCATTGACCAGTGAGATTGAACAAATCCAGGAATATATCTAACTAGGCCAAATCCTGAAACTTGACAAAGAGAACCAAAGTGCGGAAATCACTAGAAGAGCAAGACTAGCATGGGCAGAATTTGGAAAACTTAATTGGATACTTAAGAACCGCAAAATACCCCAATTGTTAAGGAGCAAAGTGTTCAACCAATGCATCCTTCTTATCATGACATATGGATGTCAAACCTGGACCCTAACCAAGGCAAACATGAATAAACTAGCCGCAACAGAAAGAACAATGAAAAGAGCAATGTTAGGTATACGACTGTCAGATAAAAAGAGGAACGACTGGGTAAGATCCAAAACAAAAGTCGAGGACATAACAACAAACAATGAAAACATTGTTTTCATGCAAAAACTTAATTTCGACAATTTTGTCAGATACCATTATTTACAACCGAGCCCTTTAATTTAAAAACTTCACGATCTAATAATAAAGTGATTCTTTTCCAATTGTAGCGATAATCCATTAGTTATTTCTATGCAGATCCAATAAATAACTTAATTTAACCTACACCATTTAATCCCTCGAATCTTTTCGTGAACTAATAAAGAAACAATGTAAACGTTACTTTAAAATATGACATTTAATTTCCTGTTCTCGAATGTTTATTAAAGTTGTTTAAGTTTTCAGCAAATACATCTTTATACATTTCAAAGTTTTGAACTGCAGGAACGACCAACGGCATAATTTGCGGAATAAATTCAGAATGTTTAATATAATAAAGTAGCGCTTTTCTACTTCGTATTTGTGTAGAGTCTAAAATAATATTTAAATATAAAACTACAGAAAGTACAAAGAACACTTAAAAATTGTCAAGCTGCAGGTAAAGATGAGATACCAAATGAATTGTTGAAATACGGTGGAGCGGAAAAGACCGAAGCAGACTAGTTCGCCCCCAAACTAAAAAACCTTTTTAATTATAGATTAGTTCGCTCTGAAGACTGCATACTAGTTCGCTCCAATGGTTAGCGGATGAAGTATTTATCTACCAAACCCGTGCGCACACAGATAGCTTGTAAGCGATATGAGTTCTGTGTTCAGTCTTTGTTGCAGTACTGTAACACACACTGCCAGCAGTCAGAACTCAGAGGTCAATAAGAACTCTTGCAGTCTTGCGTTCTATTCACAAAAAGACAGTGAACTAAACAACTCTGCTAAGACGGAAACAGAAAAATATTTGATATAGTTCCAGAAAGAAGTTTATATACATATATATGACTAGTGATTTGGCCCGTTATAGTGCGACGTGAGATCCAATCGATTGCATATACAATCAATCCATTTAATTTTTGTATTTTTTCTATTTAAGGCTAGGATGGCAACAGAATAATATTTTAATCTGTTGTACAATTTCCATAACAAATAATTCACTTTTTGAGATTCGTTGAACTTTTTGCGTCAAGTCGTCTTATGAAATCGAACTATGTATAAGCCAGCTTAATTTTAGTTTGGCAATTTATTTGTTGGGAAACTCGAGTTTTGTATTATATTTTTTACCGATCACCTAATTTGCAGCCAATATATAAGGATCAATAAAATTTTCAAAAGAATTATAAAAGTAAAATCAAGAACATTCTACAAAAATCTAAATAATGCAAGACAAGAATTTAAACCAAGGATTTGACTATGTACGGATAAGAAGGGACATATACTCAATACAAAAAAAGATATATTAAAAAGTTGGGTGGAACACTATAAAGAACTACTTACTATCGAAGTAGAAAATCACATCAACCACCCCCAGGAGCAAGCAACATCACCATTGGAGCCTCCATCAATTCAAGAACTGCGGGATGCAATAAAACACCTAAAAAATAATAAATCTTTAGGAAGTGATTATATACCCGCGGAACTTATTAAATCTGAAGGTGTTACTCTGACTAATCATATATATATATATATATATATATATATATATATATATATATATATATATAATCATACTGAGAGTCTGGAATGAGGAACAAGTCCCGTAAGAGTGGTGTATTTGGATCGTTTGCCCGCTACATAAAAAGGGTGATCAATTGGAATGTGGAAACTATAGTCTATCATAGCTATAGTGGATCATAGCATAACTACCCTCCTAGAAGAATCCTTATGTCACAATCTATGGGAAGTAGAAATAGGGGTAGGTCAAAACTCACATGGAGGGATGGTAGAAAAATAGACGCAGCAAACTGGCAACAGTTGGCAATGAATAGAACTGACAGGTCGAAGCTGTTTTAGAAGGCTGTAGCACTAATGATGATGATGATAAAACTCATCAAAATAATATATACGCCTTATTTTTAGTTTTATTACAACAGACTGGGACCAAAACTAGATTTTCACCAACCAATAGAGCAAGCTGGATTTAGGAGTGGCTTTGGAATGAATGAGCACCTACAAGTAATAAAATCCTTGATAGAGAAAGTTATAGAATATAACAAGCCATCACAACTGGATTTAGAGTGCTAAAGATCGGATGCAATGGAATTATTAATTTATGGGAGGCCTATGGCAAGCAGTCTCAAAACGTCTGATGTTGATGATGCTGTTTAAAAATAAATCATCTGCCTATACTGCAAAATAACCAAAAGGACTTGATAATTCTTTAGATTATCTTATTTTTAATTTGATTTTTAAATAATCAGAAAACATAACAAACAATAAGCAAAGCTATTTTAAATTATTTGTTCTTTTTTTCTACATTTTTCAGATATCTCTCTATATCTTATTATTTTTGGATTTCTTCTAACAAATACCTCTTTTATTAGTGTCATTAAGACCAAAGAACTCACAACATATATTTCAAAAAAATAAATCTTTTAAAAAGTTAACATTTTAAAAATTCTTTACATGGATTCCTCTCAATAACCCAGCTCACCCAATAACCCAGAGATTGCATAGCACATATAATTCAGTCGTTCTATAAAACCACGAAGCTCGAATGTGAATTAATCGTGCAGGAAAGCGACAAGGATATGGTTCGCTTGAATCGCCCGACCCTACATAGCATTGCGGCACACTAATGTGTGAAGCTGTTGACAATCCAGCCAGCCCGATTTCGGGGAATTCCACCCAGAATCAACATGTATGAAAGGTTTAACTTTAAACAATCAGGTAATTGTATTTAACACTCTTTGAATATTTAGTAATGTCGGGAATTTATATCTCGCGTGGTAAGCTCATACACTTAGGCTTTGAAATACGTTAATTGGGATGAGTATTTTTGCATGATTAGAATGATTAGCATGGCAATTCTGATCTTGTTCGCGGCACTTCTGAATAGTTCGACCGATGTGAGCCCGAACCACTTTCGCAGATTTTGAAACCACGAGTGTCTTCTTCTGCCTGGAACACGCTTACGATATAGTTTACGAAACTAGCGCCACAAAATGCAGTTGTCACGAGTAGCGTCATGTTACGCAAAAAAACTTCAGGAAGAGATATTGAAAAATTATGTAAAAAAATGTGACCTATTGCGATATCTGCGAGGA